CAGGTATGTTTCTTGACCCGCTCGAGGACGAGCGTTTGTTTTAGTTGGGGAGGATGTGACGACCCGGCCCGTCGTCACGTGAGTTACCGCCCCGTTTCCCATTTTTATGCTTCCTTATGTTTCATTATAAGAGTCTTGAGTAAACGAGTCGATTTGGATTGGTTTTGGATGGAAATGAGACACATAGTCTCTTTAAGGAAAGGTTGTTTTGGAAAAGCCAACCGGATGTTGACTTATGAGTTAGAGGGCTCGGATGTGAGTTCCGGTGATTTGGTTAGCTTCGGGGGATGATTTGTGACTTAGGAGTGTGATCGGAATTTATTTTGGAGGTCCGGTGTAGAATTAGGCTTGAATTGGCGAAGTTAGTATTTTGGCGAATTCCGGTTGATAGGTGAGATTTTTATCCGAGGGTCGGAATGGGATTTCAAGAGTTGTTGTAGCTTCGTTAGGTGATTTTGGATTTGTGTGCAAAATTTCAGGTTATTCGGAGGTGTTTTGGTCGGGTTTTTGATCAAATGCGTAATTTGGAAGTTTTAGAAGAACTTAGGCTTGAATCTGATATAATTTGAGGGTTTTGGTGTTGTTTGTGGTGTTTTGATGATTGGAGCAAGTTTGAATGATGTTTTAAGATGGATTGGCACTTTTGGTTGAGGTCCCGGGGTGATTTCGGATGGTCATCGGGATGATTTTAGACTTGGTGAAATTGCTGGTTTTGCTGGTATCTGGTGTTTCCGCATCTGCGGAAGAAGGGCCACATATGCGGTTCCGCAGATGCGAAGAGTGCGAGTGTGGGCTATGTGGAGGAATTCCGCAGAAGCGGAGGGGTTCCGCAGGAGCGGTCTCCGCAAATGCGGTTGCTGACCGCAGAAGCGGTCCGTGTTGGTGAAGGGTCTTCCGCAGAAGCGGTAGGTTGTGCGCAGATGCGGTCACCGCAGGAGCGGGATTGGACCGCAGAAGAGGTCCTGGGCATATTAGTGAGTTCTGCAGAAGAGGATGGAAAACCGCAGAAGCGGTAGTCGCATATGCGGAAAGGTAACCGCAGATGCGAAAAAGACTGTTATTAGAAGGGTTTTAAGACTCATTTTGTTCCGCGAGCTTAAGTCCATTTCCACCATTTTTGATCGACCTTGAGAGCTCTTGGACGGAATTTGAAGGGGATTTCGACTAGGTGTGATTGGAGGTGAGTTCCTTGGCCTAAATACATGAATTAATGGTAGAATTTACATTGAAATTTGTGGGAATTCATCAAAAGAGGGTAAAGCTAGGGCTTGGGAATTTGATATTTCAAACTGGAATTTGAGGGGTCAAATGGACTCCGATTTTGGTAATTTTGATATGTATAGACTCGTGGCGAGATAAGGAACCCGGTGATGTTAATTTTTTAATTTTTCGAGAAGTGGGCCCGGGGCTCGGGTTTTGCCAATTTCGTGAATTTCGATGTTTTTCGAGTCTTTTCGATTGGGTTATATTCCCTTAGCCTATTGTAATGTATTCGTTGTGGTTTCGGCCAGATTCAACGCGCGAGGAGGTTGATTTGTGAGGCAAGGGCATAGCGAGCTATGATTTTGGCCGGCTTGAGGTGAGTAATGATAGTAAATGATATCCTGAGGCATTGAAACCCCGGATTTGCACAACGTAGTGCTATATTGAGGTGAAACACGCGCTTAATGGCGAGCGTGGGGTTGTTTACTACTGGGGATTGTGACTTGGTCCGTCCCTTTTGATATTTACCACGTATTTGACTAAGCTGATTTGTTTATCATCGTGATTTGGGCATGTTGCCATGTTTTGGGCTTAATGCCGATTACTTGAATCCTTCAGGGATTGCTATCACTGTTTCCTCACTATTTTGATACGTTGTTTGAACTCAGTCCTTATAATTATACTGTTTTGCAAACTCAGCCGCTTTAATTGAATTCTGAGGTTTAAATGACATTTTTACTACTGTTTGGGCTGAGAACTATCATTTTATTGATGCCCGAGGGGCTTATGATGTTTCTGGACTGAGTGAGGAGGCTTTCAGGCCTCGAGTGTATTGTGAGGAGGCTTTCAGGCCTCGAGTGTATTGTGAGGAGGCTTTCAGGCCTCAAGTGTATTGTGAGGAGGCTTTCAGGCCTCGAGTGTATTGTGAGGAGGCTTTCAGGCCTCGAGTGATATGTGAGGAGGCTTTCAGGCCTCGACTGTGATGTGTGAAGGCTTTCAGGCCTTATGTTGATATAGCGCTTGGGCCGTAAGGGGCCCCTCCGGAGTCTGCACACCCACAGTGAGCGCGGGTACCCATGTGATTTGAGAGTGAGCCCGACGGGCTGATACTATGCTGTGTGACTAAGATTGAGCCCGATGGGCTGTTACTATACTGAGCGATTGATACTGGGCCCGAGGGGCAGTTTTACTATTCACAATTTATTTACTGTTTACCTGATTTACCTGTCTTTAAGATAATGAGACTTCATTTGACTTTTTACTGTTTTACTGTTTAAAGTGATTTACTGCCTGATATAGCGTTGTCTTGTGCACTTATGTGTTTTCATGCCTTCAGTTATTATTTATTATTATTACTCACTGGTTCGGAGTACTCACATTACTCCCTGCACCATGTGTGCAGATTCAGGCATAGTAGAGTCCGCTCCTGAGCACTGATATTCTTCACAGGCAGGCAGCGAGTTGGAGCTTCGAGGTAGCTGTTGACGTCCGCAGCCCCTTGACTCCCCTATTTTATGTTATTTCAGTTCCTTCAGACTATTGTATCAGATATTCTATTTCTTAGACTT